TTTTACCAATTCAAATTTTTATTTTAACATTTAAAAATAATACTTAAATTTAATTAAAGTTTCAAATTATTATTATATATGATCCCCAGTAATTTAGTTACATTCTAAAAATGTGAATTACTACTTAGTAGGGTTTTCTATTGCCTATGGATGGGACATTTTGGCACTTTCTGAATTAACCTCAATTATGTTTTATTTATTACATTAAATTGGTAGTACATATGGATATGTCATTATTACTATTATATTACTGTAATAATAATGTGTATATGTAAATGAGAAGAAAAGACTGGTTGACTCGGTTGGAGATTAAATGACTTGTATATGGTGGTGGGTCGATGGGATTTCTTTTAAATATTGTGGTTCAGTGTTATCTTTATTAATTCATGTAATACTGATTGGAAGTTGTAAGGAGGTATTACTATACCGATGGGTAAAGAATGATGATTCTATTTATTGAGCCAATGGTAACCGACTACTAATTACTGAAAAATGTTGTGATAACAAGAACTTCTTAGTTATTTAGTGTGAATACTGATATGCATATTATTGAGGTAATATTTCTATTATTATATGAATTTATTATTATTACACGAATTTATTATTATTTTTTATTTTATTGCTCGTACAACTAAACTTTTATTGTTACCGATATGAACACTGATACAATTTGATACTATTGATTATTGTACTAAAATTGAGTATGTGACATAATAAGCACGTAAAATACTGAGCATATAATATATTAGATGCTCCTATATGATTTTATTACATTTATATGATTTTGATAGTTTTTTATTGATATTTTGGTTTTATCGCTTTATATGATTTTTTTACTGGTTAATAGTATTGATATGATGACTACTTTATTGATTTGACATTTATACTAGTTTATTAATTTCTCCAATATATCATTTTATTGACTTTCATATCATATTATTTTACTTATTTACATACTTTACTACTAGTGTATGTAAGTTTTATTATTTCTGCACTAATTCAATAATCGTATGAATACTAGTGCTATGATTTGACTATTGACATACATATTGTTCATATATCTTGCATTGAGTTCAGTTATAGAATATGGTTACTTTCTTGGCTCTTAAGCTCATTATATATAATTAAATAATTTTAAATCAGGGTAAGAGAGCAGCAAGATCCTTCATATTTAAGTTCTTAATATTTTAGTTATTCTTTTGTACTCATAATGAAATAGTTGTGATAGGATTAAATAGATCATAAGTATTGTATATGATTTTTTGAAAATAGATACATATGTATATATATTGATATTTGATCGATAATTTTATCTCTACTGCTATTTATGTTTATAAAAGAAATTAGGTAATTCTAGTTGTTTATTAAAAGATAAAAGAATAATTCTTTTATATTAGATTCTAGAATATCACAATAAGTAGGTTTAAATATATACTTATTTCAACAATATAATAAATTGCAATAAGCACGTTACTTCCCCAATAACAGTGCCAAAAACTTAATGGGAGGCAAGCCCAAGGCCAGAAGTTAATGGTGAGCTAATGTGAAACTCGCTAAACTTAAAATATTTTTAGGTTTTCTTTTATATAAAATTTATAATAGCCCACTAATTTACGCAAATATATCGTGCTGAATCAAGTAATCAAGTCATAAAATAAAGTATCGAAGCCACGAGAAAGTTTTATGCTAAATTGCAATAAAACTGCTATTGTTTACTCCCATTGCATGAATTTATCCTGCTGAAATGAAAAATAAAAATATAAAATTCATACCACTAAATAAAAATAAGTAAAAATGGTTAATATAATTATAATAAAATATTTTTGATTGATGCATGTAATTTACATATATTTCCTAAAGAAACTCTTAATTGTAGATATAGATCATAGCATGTGCATTTCTAGATCTCTATCGATCTTAAGGGATAAAAAGAAAAACTTTATTCTTTCTAGAATTTTACTATTTCTATATAACCTAGAATATTCAAACATTCTATGTTTAGGCAAGTCAATATTCTATTTTAATATTTCTAGTTATTCTTTTATTCCTTCATCGAGGCTATACATCATACTAGGTTTTAACTACACACATGGCCACACTATAGGAAAACGCTCATTATTGATGGCCACATTTGTCGGAAATATACAAAATCCATCGAAAAAATAGCTTTCACGCAGGAATTTTTTTTTGGTAAAATACACATTGGAAAACCAACATTAGCAAAAAAAAATTGCCATAAACATTTCCAATGGATTATTTCCGTCAAAAAAGTTTCTGGCAAATTTTAGACCAAAATTTAGTGTTAGAAAATTTTTTAAAAAAAGTTGCTCAAATTTTGCTTGAGCGAGCCAGCCTACAGCACACCCGCCCGCCTACCTGAGTCCGCTTCCTGCTTGACCGGGCTAGACCGCCTACGTCCGAGAAAAGTCTTGAATTTAGCCCCTTCGGAGATCTAACGCCCAACTATTAGGCTACGGGGAAAGATCTATATAAATGCTATATACTCTTTTTATTTATATTATAACTTACAAAATATTAAAATTAATAATTGACTAAATACTTAATTTGATATTTTGGTGGAAATTAATTGAAAAAGTGAAAAAAATAATGACATGTATTAATTTTTGAGATCATCATTAGTATCTTGTTCTAATAAAAAGTATAACTCAAAAGAGCTGTCCACAAAAGAGGCAAAGAATGACATTATAAGCAACACATTCTTTGATTAAAGCAATAATTAGAATACTATGAAATTTGGCTAAAATACAACTCAATTAAGTGTGACAATATAAGTGATATTAGTTTGATTAAAAAATGTTAATTAAAAATATTAAAAATTGTTAATTAATAATTGTTAATTGATTAAAAATTGATAAAAAAGGAGAGATTTTTATTACCTTATGATTAATTGTTTTACTAGCTACTACTTAATTAAGGATAGTAAATTAAAAGAAATGATTATTTTATATCTTAATCCAAGTAATTAATCCATATAATTAAGGAAAGATATAAAACATGCCATTCACATGGAGTCACATTACATCACTTTGTACATATACAAGTCTTTTCATGCAAGTCAATCTCTTTATTAAGATCACCATTAAAGATATGCACTTTAAATTGACCAATGGATAGAGAATCAAACTTGAGCCTTATTCAGGAGCTTTATCACTGTTCATATTCAACTTGTATTAAAAAAAATATTCCATCCATAGTTACTATTGAACCGCATGCAACTTTGAAGCCTTGAATGCACACACCTAAAGCGAAGTAAAACATTATTGAAACATCCCAAGTTGTCAAGCTAAAAATTAATGATTGTCCCTAAATGCTTCCTATTTAGCATACTTAGATATGATTATAACTTTCGAAATGTTGCTTCAAAAATCTTGTCGTGTTCACTTAGGTTTTATTTGAGACGGTTTTTGTATTGCTTCTTAAAGCAATTTTTTAGTACATAAATTTTAATTTTTGCACTAAAAAGCTACTTTAAGATGCAATAAGAAAGCGGCCACAAACAAAACCTTAGTCACATATGATATAATCATCTTTGGCTTCAATTTATGATAAAAATTGGAGTGTCAACCTCTTAGCTCATAAGCATACTTCTGATTGGGTTTATTGACAAAGATGTCTTTGTAGAACAATTCCTAAATTTTCAAAATATTGATTAACTATATCTTTTTTATAATGTGATATAACATAATGAGTACTTTCTTGATTGAAATAAATTTAATATGAGTAGAGTAGATGCCCTCTTTATCAAGAAACAAGGGGATGATAAAATAATTATTTAAAATAATGTAAATAAAATTTTGTTTGCAAGTACAAAAAGAATCTTAATGAGTGAAGAGTTCGTGATTAGGTTAATGTGAAAACTCGTTTTTCTTGGGACTTTATGTGAAAAAGTGAAAAAAACCAATATGACATGTATTAATTTTTGAGATCATCATTTGTATCTTGTTCTAATAAAAAGTATAACTCAAAGAACTTGCCCACAAAGGAGGCTAAGGCTTCATTTGGAACCGGTTTTTTTTTTTTTTTTTCTTGAAACAACTTTTTAATAAAAAATATGTAATTTCATTACTAAAAAGCCGCTTTAAGAATCAATAAGAAAGCTGTCTCAAACGAAGCCTAAGAATGTCATACGCATATGCTTTGATTAAAGCAATAATTAGAATACTATGAAATTTGGCTACAATACAACCCAATTAAGTGTGACAATATAAATGATACCAGCTTAGTTAAAAATTCAATTCACTCATAACAAACTGAATAATTAAGTTTAGACACTATTTTATTAAAGATAATGCTTCTCATGATCATATTGAAGTTTAATTTTGAAGGAATTTCTCTTCAATATGAATTTTTTGTGTTGTCAAAAAAGAGAGAAATATCTATTGATATTCATTTTAAAATATGCATGATCTAAGGAGAGAGAGAGAGAGAGAGAGAGAGAGACTTGTTATGATTAATTGTTTTACTTAATTACTACTTAATTAAGGGAAGATAGTAAATTAAAATTTCCATAAAAATTCCCTGAACAGCAACAATTAAAACATAACTCTAATCTAATTTTCTTCACTTCGAATTAAGTTTTCTCATTGGTAAATGCGTAACATCCTCTTTCAACTCTTCTTTGCTCTAAAAATAACTGCACATCTTCTAAATGAATTGAGGACAAAAACAAACCCTCAATGTTTCGAACAATTATTACGTCCTCCGACTGGATGCAGAGAAACATCCGGTCGCAGGCAAAATCCGGCTATACCGAGGTGTACCGAGTTTTTTTCGAAAAACTCGGTACACCTCGGTACAGCGGGATTTTGCCTGCGACCGAATGTTTCTCTCATTCGGTCGACCGGACCAAATAAAACTTCCAATGTTTGAGGGATAGGAACAAGTCATTGCTCATTAAACACTATCAGCCTAAGTGTGACATTATAAGTGATATCAGCTTAATTAAAAATTCAATTCATCACTCATAATAAACTGAATAATTAAGTTTAGACATTATTTTATTAAAGATAATGCTTCTCATGTTCATATTGAAGCTTAATTTTGAAGGAATTTCTCTTCACTGAACAGCAACAATTATAACACAACTCTAATCTTCCTCTTTCAACTCTTTTTTGCTCTAAAAATAACTGCACATCTTCTTAATGAATTGAGGACAAAAACAAACCCTCAATGTTTCAGGGATTGAAACAAGTCATTGCTCATTAAACACTATCATTCCTAAGAAGCATTGTAGTTACAAAAAGAATGAAAATTGTACCTATTACAAAAGCTTTACGTTCTCATGGCTCTAGAGGCAACCTCCGATCGGTTTTCCACTTCACCTTCCAACCTATCAGCATTTCCCTATAGAAAGAAAAACCAACAATTTGTAAAACCTTCATACCAGTATTACTAAGATAAAATCTGAAATCATCTAAAAGCTTAATCATTCCAGACATTCCAGATATTTACATTAGATGTATATCCTCTATCATGTTATTCTTGCTACGAGTAGAGACTCTTGATATTTAATGAACCGCATGATTAAGGTTTCGTTCGGGACGGTTTTCTTTTTGCTTATTAAAGCAGCTTTCTAGTACAAAAATTAAATTTTTTACTAAAAAGCTGCTTTATGAAGCAGTAAGAAATACATCCCAAACGAAGCTTAAATATACACGGCATGATTTGCATATTTTTACCTCGGCGTCCTTCATCCTGCATATGCGGAGATAGCTTTCCAACGCACCATCGCCATGTAGAATTTTGGCTCCGCAGCCAGGTTTGTCAACAGAGCCTACAGCTTCTTCATCCACCACCACTGCATCTACACGCTCAATGCCTGTCTTGGCATCTGGGATCTGAAAGATTTTACATTGGAGAAAAGGAATAAAAGATGGAGAAATTGCACAAATTAGATGGGCAGGATAACATAGTTGGAAGGCCTGCTTTTTTAGCCAGACTGGTTGTCAATCAATATTATGGTTATTTGGTATTTTCAGAATCATAATTAACCTTTATAAAGTGATGCATGCTTGTACACTATGATCCATATAAGAAAGTGATGTGATATGGTTAAGGGAAGGGAGTGTGTATTGAAAAGAGGAGAAATTATTAGAAATTGAAAATGGTTGCAGCTCTACGTTTGTAAAGCGGCTCACACGGTCAACAGTAGTACATAATTTACTCCAAAACTTAAATCCGTTAAAACTCCCTCAAAGAAAGCAGCAGGCGGAGGCCGGGGCCAAATTTTCGGAGCCCACAGTGCTGTAAATGATGAAATCAGTTAGGAAATAACGTATTTTGCTGTAATTCAGAAAATGGGATAGAAGATAGAAAAATAAGAGTTGTCATCAAGGGTTACTGTTGTTGTTGGTTGATGCTTGTTGAAACTGTAAGTAGAAGGCTGCTGTGAAAACTGTAGTAGTTGATGTAAAAAAGGAAGGAACTGGACATCAAGTGAGGAAAAGGAACTTCATGAGAGAAAATGAATTTAGATTGAATGAGGAACTTGATTGAGGGAAAGTTTGTAAGATTTAATATAACTATTTAATTTCTTTTTTTATCTGAATGTTTATATTGAAATGAAGAAATTTATGTTTTAGGTTGTATACCAAAGGAAAAGTAATCAGAATACTTTAGGTGAACCAATTTACCCAACTGTTCTAAAAGACAATGTGAGATACCTAAACGATTCATAGAAATAGTAAAATTTTTAACATTTGCAAATTCATATATGTTATGTTTATGATATCAATATTTCAATTTATTCAACTTTGTTCATATATTTGAATTGTTGTTGAATAACTTAGTATTACTAACATTAATACTGTGTGATTATGAAAATGGACATGAAAATGAAAGAGCTGAAAATAAAATAAGTCATATATGAAGGATAAGCCTGCAGAAATAAAGGTGAAAAATCTAACGAGGTAAACATATACTCTCAAAATTCTAAAAGTTGGAATTCAAATCAAACCTTGAAAGAGATAGCAGCTTCAATTCTAAAAGTTGGAATTTGGACTCAACCATGAATTAGAAAGCTAAAAGGGTACAAAAGCTTATAGTCATCATATGACTTATCTAAATGTGTAGAACAATTAACAAGATATAAAGTAACGTTATGCATTTTTTATGATCAGTGTGATTTAATGTGTTTTAAAATAATTGTTATCAAGGTTATTCGCATTTTTTATACATTGCTTGTGTATTTTATTGAGTCCTACCTCATTAGCAGTGGTTGAACTGCAGGAAATGGAAAGGAGCCCGTAGGACATTAGTCAAAAAGGGTGACCGCCCTTTTTGGTATAAATATATTTTGGGTATACATAGAAGTCTAAGTGGAAGCTGTAAAAAAGCTTTTGGAATATGTAAGTAAATTTTGAAAAGTTATCTAATAAAACTCTATATTTGTTTTGATTTTATGTGAGTTTACTCGAGTTATATTACATGCTTCCTGTCAGGAAGCATTAAGTATAGAGCTTGTTATGTTGATATATTAAGAGAGTCTAAATATATTCATTTTTACTCATTTGATACTGATTGAAGTAGTTTAGAATGGGTGTTAGTAAGAAGAGACATGTTTTGATTTTCCTTCTCTATTATACTTCAAGTTGACCGTAATGGGTGTGACAGAAATTCGTATCATAGCCTAAATTAAAATCAAATTGAAGCATAATTGGATTTATACAATGAAGTAGGAAGAGATATAATGATGTATATAGAGCTATAGGTTGAATAGAACTATGCATGTATTCATTAAAGACAATAAACATACCTGCATACAAGGCCTATTTAATGTTTTAAAATGATCATGCTTATTGCCATTAATATATGTATTATATGAATTATCTCGGGATTAAAGTAGGATTTAATGAAAAATAAATGAACATTTAAGGGATGTTTATGCGTACATTATTTTGAACATTTTGGTATTATAAAAACAAACCATTCAAATATGTTACTCAAGTTGGCGGTCCAGCTTAAATGAGTTTCTGTCCACAGAGATTATTTGATTTCTCATATGTTATCCATACTCATCTCACCTAGGGTACTCACCCCGAGGACATGCCACCCACAAGCCACTCGCTAGAGGTGCCCCAAGTCACGTCAAAGATAAATGGCCAAGTGTGTCTACTTCACCCTAGTTCATGTATCTATATCAATTTGTACCTAGCAAATTATTTATTATTTTTTTACTTTTCTAAATGTAGCCTTTCCTACAGACATAGCCTTCCCTATATTTTGGACTTCATAACATTTTTATTGTTCATAATGATTACTTTGTTACTCATCTGTTCTCCATACTCACTGATCTAGGCCAAAACAAATTTGAATCCAACAAATATGATCCAAAAAGTTGTGGTGGAAGAAAGTATCAATAATATCACGACATAAAAACTATATGTAATTCATCAAGATTGGAGTGAAATTAGTTCTAAAGCAAACGACATTGATTTAAACAAATGAAAATAAAGTTAATTTCATGTCATCCAAAACTCAAAGTTGCTTACCTTACCATTTAAAAAAACATTAATTTAAAATATCAATCCAGAGACCGCAACAAGAACACTAAAATAAAAAATCATGCATTTGTCTATGGGATTCATCTCTTTCACTTTGCCTCAGTTCTCGAGAACAAAGGATGGTTCCATCCAAAAATAATTACCCAAACTCCCCCATGATAAGTTTATGACACTTTAAAAAAAATAAAAACACATATAAATTTAACTATTGTTGCATCCTGCAAAATTCGTGGTTGTAGATATAGAGTTTAGCTTCTAAGCTTTGTGCGAAGATCCATCACACAGACAAATCGAAGAGGGGTGCAAAAGTCATAAGAGACACCAAGATTTTTATGTGGAAAATCATAAAAAGGGAAAAAAAATCATGAGGTCTGATGATTCTACTAGGATTTATTGTTGATTACAAATGAGGTCCTTCCTTGGGGCAAGGCCTTAGCTTGATATAGCAAATATACATCATATAGAGCACATTAAATGGTGAGAGTTTTAAGAATCTAGTAATATGAGAGTTGTTTTCAAGAGAGTGTTAGTATGTCCATTTGGTGGATAGGACAATAGTTGGACGACGGTTAGTTAGAGGGACCCTAGTCGAAGAGTGATGGAGGTTGGAGGGATCGTAGTTGGCGTGCAACCATGGTTGGAGGAGAGACGGTAGTCGACAGGTGACAGTGGTCGGAGGGACCGTCTTTGGCGGGTAACGGAGGATGGAGAGACCATAGTCGAAGGGACTGTCATCGGCGAGCATGTTCGTTCAAGAAAAATGGCTTTAGGGTCAATGACAAATTCAGGTCGTGACTCGTATAGGCGAAGCAGCGCGATCAAACGGGCACTCAGGTTTACGACTGTGTGACGTCGGGCAGTCGTATGCAGTGGACAGGCCAGCTAGTGCTACATGGCTTGAGTCGTACAGCTGAGGCATGCAGAAGTCACTTCACGCAGGAGGAGTCGCGCATACATGGGGTCCATAGTAGAGGTTAGGATCTGGATTCGGGCACACAAGAGTGCTTCGGGCATTTGTGGAAGATGCAGTCGTAAGGGTCTTCACGCACAGGAATTTCGAACGGGTGGCCGAATACATGTTGGTATCATGGCTTCTGATTGCAAGAGGAAGCAGGAGTTCGGCAGAGAAAGAGTGAAGTGAGCTGAGCCTTTCACATGAGACGAACAAAGGTAGGTAAACAAGAACAAGAGAGCGAGCTCTTTTTTTGTTCTGTTTTGGCATCTTTTTATCAATTGCAATGTTTAAAATTGCGTATTCGGGTATTGAGACGTTTTTCATTCGTGAGGCGAGGCGTAAGCCTCAAGGCGTTTTGAGGCGTAAGCCTCAAAATCAAAAGATTGCGTAAACATAAAATGATAAATTTTTTAAATACTAATGAGTGAATAATATAAAACATAAAAAAGCATAAGATATGAAGTGAAATCAAAATATCTCAATAATAAGACAACATGAAATATAGTTCAACTCAAAATTCTATCTTTCCCAAATCCCAGTATTCTTTTCATTAACATATAATTCCAATTTCTAAAAATAAATAGCAATGACATATCACATAAGAACTCATAAATCATCAGCACTGTCATCACTAAGGGGTTCTTCATTTGAATCATCATTATGATGAACTGCTCTCTCCCCTTCCTCCTCTCCTATAGAGTCCAATGTCGGGCATTTACTTCAAGATTTATGTAAGTTTTAATATATATAGCTTGAGGCGTAAGCCTCATGCCAGTGAGGCGATGCGGGCCTTAAGGCAGGCCTCAACCAAATTGAGGCGCAAGCCTCATAACAAAAACTTGAGGCATAAGCATCGAGGCGTTTTTTACTGGAATTGCGCAAAGGCGGGCCTCAAGGCGAGCCTCACATTGCGCAATTTTAAACCATGATCAATCGAATCATCAAAGTGATGTGTTGCTTTATGAAGCATCGCATTTATCCAATTACTTTTGAAATGATGCATTTGTTCAAATTTTTCCTTTTTTTTTCTTTTTTTTTTTAATTTCTATTTTAATTCAGTTAACAAATTGCAATCCAACAAATTTGTTGAGTGATTTTCACGCAATAAATTTGTTGCAATCACTAATTATATGATTTTCATCGTTCGCCTTTTATTTGTCAAGTTATGTGTTTGATTGGAACATAACATGTACACTACTCCGTTCGGAACCTTCAAAAGAACAAATTTGGAGGAAAATTGATAGATACGATCCGTCCCAATCGATCTCTATTCAGGATCAATTATATTGACATCAAGAGATGTTAGCTAATAGAGATATATTACGGTCTTTTTACTCATTCTCCTTGGATGACTCCTTTTGACTCAAATCCTCCAATTGGGCATGATCCTCCAAATTAGATTGTCACCTTCATATTAAGTCACAGTTACAGTACCACTTTGGAGCGGGTTGTCGTGAGTATGATTTATGGTGATTAGGATATTTTATAGCCAACAGCAAACTTTGCAGAGAGTATAGAGATTTCGAATGGGTGGTCGAAGACACGTTGGTATCGTGGCCTTTGATTGTGAGAGAAAGCAGGAGTTCGGAGCAAGAAGAGTGGAGCGGGCTAAGCCTTTCGCGTGAGACGAACAGAGGTAGGTAAGCAAGCACAAGAGAGCTAGCTCTTTTTTTTTTGTTCTGTTTCAGCGCCTTTTTATCAATCGAATCATCGAATGGATATGTTGCTTCCTGAAGCATCGCATCAATCCGATTATTTTCTAAAACGATGCATCTGTTTAGATTTTACATGTTTTTTTCTCTTTTAGTATCTCTATTTTAATTCAATAAGCAGGGCAACCAAGGTCAAAGGAATCGTATTCAGAGGGCGACGATGGTTGGAGGGACCATATTCGAGTGGCTAACGAAGGTCCAGTAATTATCTGCGGTTGGATGGAGGTCTGGCACTAATCAACGGTGGGCAAATGGTTGGAGGTCTAGCAGCAGTAGGCAGCCGGCGGACATGCGAAGGTTCGGTAGTGATCAGTGGACAGGCGGTGCTCCGGCGACGTTCGATGGTCGGACAGTGGTTCGTTGAAGGTCAGTGGCTGGGCAGATGTCCAGCGAGGTCGTCAGACGGGTGGTGGTCCAACAACGATTGGCAAACAGGCAATGGTCTGGCAATGATCAAGAAGCTTACTGGCGGTGGTGCTTAGGTAGAACTCTAAAATCCTTGAAGCCTCCCGCCAAAAGGTCCAAGCTTCCAAAGGTCTACGCCCCCTTTTCATATAGGAAGGGGGGATCTATTTATAGAGTATTGAAAGATAAATGCTCTATAATTATGAAAAAAATCAAGGAAAAATTCGGAATGCTTCCATCGGATGGCTCATACTGATACCCTCAATCATAGAGCATTCATTCAGCATTTAATTACCTTAATGATGTCAGAATTAAGAGATCTTAGGCTCGTTAGATTCGTCTTGTCAAGCCACACGATTCAACTATAAGCATACTATAATTGAATATCATTTGGTCATCCATTTTATGCTTTGAATCTTCCAAATATGCTTCAGTCCCTTAATTTGGGCCCATTTGGGCTTGAACTAAACCGATTTTAGTGTCATTGTGTTCATCTTGTCGAGAGGTTCAATGTGGAGTTCGGATGGCTTTGAATTTAATTTAGGAAGTTATCAACTCTTATATGCTTCCAGATTTGTGCCTAATCAAGACAATTTTTGGTAGCGTATCAATTATTAATCAAAATATTCAAAGTACTTGGTCAATTCAAAAGAAAATATATTTGTAAAAGCTGAGGATAACTAAGTAATTAACAAACCTCATACATTGCATCCGTCAAAATACTTTCTAAAATTGCACGTAAAGCTCGTGCACCTGTACTTTTAACCATAGCCTTTGCTGCAATCAGCCTTAGCGCTCTTTCTGAATAGTGTAGCTTAACCTGAAAGGAAAATAAGATTAACTGATTAGCTCTGAGCCAGTAGTTTTAGGTTAAAATTTTAATAGATAACGGCGTACTCACATTGTTCATATCAAACATTTTTCTGTACTGTTTACAAAGAGCATTTTTTGGCTCTGTTAAGACCTGAAGCACATTAAATAAATAAGGCTTGTCAGCTTTTATGAAAATAATTAGCAAACAAAAAGGTTTGGACATATTTACAATCAACTTCTTATAAGACTGACCAACAAAATCAATTTCAAAAAATAATAATTCGTTTTCCTTTTAAGATCAACCATGAATTAAGGGTCGGCATAGGAAAGTGATTAATCTGGATCCATTATGACTACAGGTCATATATTCGAGTAATGAGACTTTCTGCAATGCAACTCAAGACTAGTTACATCATCCCCTCTATGCCCACCTTACATTGCCAGAAGACTAATATGCTTGGTTATTTGACCCTAAAAACTTGGTTTTATGTGAATGGTGATGCTTATGCCAAGGGGTATATTAAACATGGTATTATGAATTATTTGAGTGCATTAAATAATCTAAAAATACATTACAATATGACAGTCCCATCTAGAAGTATTTGTGCTTCATAACCATTACCAACAAAGTTAGCATTTGATGCAGTATAACATTGATATATTATAACTGAAAAGAAGAATGTAGTCATCAACAAAATTACCTGAACAAGTTGGTCCATAGTCAGCCCTGACAAACTGACTACTATGGGAAACCGGCCAACAAATTCTGGGATGAGGCCATATGCAATGAGATCACCACTTTCAACCTTCGAAAATGCTCCAATATTTTAAATCCAAAGAAATTTGAGAAAAAGAAAGATATAGCATACTTATAAAACAAACTGATCCAACCAGTTTATATATTTTTGCTTCTTACAGATTCCAACAAGGATGAAGTCACTGCAGCATTTATTGGTGCACCTATCGCCATATTTGCACGAACCGGTGCTCCAAAACCAATTGAAGAATCTTTTCGTCTGATGTACAAATAAAATGTAAACCTCCTCTTCGTCAATAAGGTATACAGTAGTCAAGATGGCTCCTGTAAATCCATCTAGAATCATGAAAATGAGTTACCTTTCAGAAATAGTCTTCTCCAAACCAACAAACGCACCACCACATATAAAAAGAATATCCTTTGTATCAATCTGCAGGTGAAAACAAGGTCCATTAAGCTCGCAAAACTAACGCATCATATATCCGTAGGTGCATCCACATGATTCCAAACTTACACAGTGCACCGATTCACACACACAAATAAAAAGAAAGAACCTATAAAAGTTTATAAGCTATGGTGGATTATTAATGTTGGAGTCTTGGACAAAGCAGGACTAAAAATGATCTACGCCAAGTCAAAGGATAATGAGAAATTAATGATCTTAAATTCAAGTCAAATAGAACCATCCAATTTACTTAAAAGAGAGTAAACAAAAGTATTTAAACATCCTTATAAGAGTTTTAATATGAAGAATAGTTGTAAATTTAAGGGACATACAGCGGTGAGTACCTAGGGTTGATAATGATCCAATTGGGCTAGATCCTAAATTTGCAATGAGAGCTCGATCCTGTCCATGATTAAGTATTTTTTACCTTAAAATGTCTCAATTTGGTATATTAGAAGAAATATATATATATATATATATATAGAGTCATTTGTTAGCTCGCTAGTTTTGATGAAGGCTTATCTCAAAGATAAAATTCATTATAAATGTGCCTTGTATTTAAGTTGATTTAGCTTGATTCAAACTCAAATTAAACTAAAAAATTATATAATTTTCATGCGAGCTTCAAGGGAAAATGCAAAACACCAAAATTTAGCAGCTAAACATCACCTCTCATGATGTTGCTTGCTCAATGCAAGGAAATTTGGGAGCTTCCGAATGAACAAATAGCCTGATAAAAAGCCCAACCTAAAATGAGTGGTAGGACAGAAGTGGGTCGAGCTTTATATAATCAGAATTTCAATATAATCTGAAGGCTGTTCAGATCAGATCAGATTGAGAACTAACCTGATCTAAATCAAGCCCATTAAAGGTCTATACTCTGCTTGACCTGCTACCAAACTTAACTCTTGTCGTAGGCTCAATAAGCTGAGAACCAGCAAAACACTAGAACAGTAGGACAGGCATGCAAGTGACAAAATAGAGGAATGGATGATATTGAGGATGGGGGCGGACAGTGGTGAAAGGAAGCCTAGAGAACAACAGAAAGTAGAAATAGATGTGTAAGAACTGATAAGAGTAGGATGGAGGTTGAGCAGAGGAGAGGAGACTAGCAGCGGCAATAAGAATGCAAGTGAAGGAAGGATCAAGCAAAAAACAAAAAAAATAAGGAAAAAAAAAGGTATTTAAATTTAGGGTAATATTTCAACATAATCCCAAAACGAAAAGACTTTTCATAGATTTCCCTATCACCAACAACAGCAAACATATTAACCCACCAAGCTGTTGTTCACACTCAAGAAGTGAATGTTACGATAACGCACGAACCCTTGCTCTCGCAAGCTTTTAGATTCAACTTTTTCCGACGTAGATTGGATTTTAATTTAACCAGATGGTAGTGAGACCTGCAATGCAAAGCATAATACTAAGTTAAGTGTTGCAAAGATGAGGATACTTAGGTTGATGAGTGGCTTTACCCTTACAGATAGGATACAAAATGAACATATACGTGAAAAGGTTGGAGTAGCTCCGGTAGAAGATAAGATTAGAGAGAGTCGTCTTAGATGGTTTGGTCACATTAAACGGAGGCCTTCCGATGATCCGGTTATGAAAGCCTTCTGATGATCCGGTTATGAAAGTTGAGATATTAGATTTGATTTATGTTAAGAAAGGTAGAGATAGACCTAAAAAGACTTGGTTAGAAAATATTAAAAATGATCTTTCTTTATTAGGTTTAAATGAGAATTTGACTTTTAACAGAACATAATGGCAAAAAAGGATTCATGTAGCCAACCCCACGTAGTGGGACAAAGGCTTGTTGTTGTTGTTATTATTATTGTTATTGAGGTTCCGCTTCCTATCAGGGCAAGCCCTTATAGTTAATTACCACTTTTAACGTGTAGAAGAGTACTCTCGATTAAGGATGAATGTATATTTAGTTATGTAACAGTTTTAAATTTTGGTTACGGGGGATGGAGGTAAATGCAATCAAGATCCCATGGTTCCGTCGTCCCGGGTATACTATGGGTTTCAGTCTACCAACACTAACAACCATTTATTGTAGTGTCCAGGTAATCTGATTAGCTGTCATGGGTTACCTCCTCTCAAGAATCCCAAGTAAACCGAAGTGGTTAAATATGAGTTTTAGAGATGTTATGATTAGGGGCTTATTTCTATTAGAATGCCCGTTAATTTATTTAATTTGGGGCTTACGGCTCAAATTAAGAGTTTCCCGTATGTTTGGATTTGGGGCCGAGACTTACGGCTTTTGTTGAAAGTAGCACGTAGAGCAGGACTTATAGCTTCGTTTAGAAGTAGTCCAAGTAGTGTTTAGTTGGTAGGACTTACTGCTTCACTTTGGAAGTAGTCTATAGGTTTAAGAGGTTTAGAGCTCTTCACTTAGAAGCTTTCCAAAAATACGAGTCTTACGGTTTTGCTAAGAAGTGGCTCAAACAACAGGTATTACGGCCTCTATTAGAGGTGGCTCAAATATGTGGATTTGGTTTAGGTTATTTTAGAAGTTTCCCTAACATGCTAGTCTTACTGCTTCCTTTTGAAAGTAGCCCAAATAGCAGGTTGTACAGCTTAGCCTTATAGGTTAAGATGCCTATTGGGGGGAAGTCTAGGATTAGGTTGTTGCCTAGAGATTTTCCCTAAAATCGGACTTACGACCATTAGAAGTAGCCAATCAAATTTTATATATTTTTCATTTCACTTAACGGATATCCTTAATGAGGTAGTCGCCAATAGGATTCATTACTTCCATTAAAAGTAACATATAGGACTTAGTTTAGCAGGGACATAGCTTTACACACTTCATTGCCTTAATACTACCGTCAATCGCCTTGTTTCGTCTACAGTAGTAGCTCTTTACTTGCAGTAGTAGTTTTTTTTTTTTTTTTAACTCTTTCCAGCATTAATTTTATTTATTATGTGCTAACTTTCACTTAATTGTTTGTAGATATTCCTGACCAGCCATTTATAGGAGCTGGAACTTGGAGTTGCAGGGGCTGGGGTTTAGAACATGGTTTAAAATTGCGCAATATGAGGCTCGCCTTGAGGCCCGCCTTTGCGCAATTCCAGTAAAAAATGCCTCGATGCTTACGCCTCGAGTTTTTTTTATGAGGCTTGCGCCTCAACTTGGTTGAGGCCCGCCTCGCCTCACTGGTATGAGGCTTACGCCTCACGCTATATATATTAAAACTTACATAAATATTAAAGTAAATGCCCGACATTGGACTCTATAGGAGAGGAGGAAGGGGAGAGAGAAGTTCATCATAATGATGATTCAAATGAATAACCCCTTAGTGATGAAAGTGCTGATGACTTACGAGTTCTTATGTGATATGTCATTGCTATTTATTTTTGGAAATTTGAATTATATGTTAATGAAAAGAATACTGGGATTTGAGAAAGATAGAATTTTGAGGTTAACTATATTTCATTTTGTCTTATTACTGGGATATTTTGATTTCACTTCATATCTTATGCTTTTTTATGTTTTATATTATTCACTCATTAGTACATAAAAAATTTATCATTTTATCTTTACGCAATTTTTTGATTTTGAGGCTTACGCCTCAAAACGCCTTGAGGCTTACGCCTCGCCTCACAAATGAAAAACGCCTCAATACCCGAATACGTAATTTTAAACATTGGTTTAGAAAGCTCACTGGCAGCATGCATGTGTTTGTTACTTAGAGCCCGAGGGCGTTGAGAGTTTTGAGAGCTTGTGCAGAGGGTTGTTTGTTTGTTCTGCTCAGAGAGTTGTTGTCGAAGAGTTGTTAAGTAGCTTGTACTTAAGATGAATAGTGGAAAACCTTTTCTTTCTTTTATCATTACATTTAATAATAATAATAAACATTATTATTAATTATTATTTATTAATTATAAATCATTATTATTATATAATAATAATATAAAAACATCCTCTTCTTCTTACCTACCCATTGTTTGGAGACGGATTGGGTGTGGGTTCCGATCAGGAGATCGGTCAGAGGAAAGGGGTCGGATGGGAAGCTCGGCGGCGTGCATGGAACCAGGAGTCAGGTTTGGTTATGGAGACCTGCTTGCGTGTGGAGTATCGGATAGCAAGAGGGCAAGTTCGGCTTTGTTGTAGCCGTGGATAGGCCTCGGCAGCGGCTAGGTAGGTAAATCGAGCAGAGGGAATGGGTCAGTCAAGGGTTGAGAGTCGTCTAATCAGCAGTCAACAGCTGTATGAAAAGGTCTACCAAATTAATCACCTTACCCGCCCAACAAACTACGTTGATCTTTAATTGGAGCTCATTTACTGAACAAGCTCATTCCCACTTACAATCATCCAGTGAGTACAACTTTAGATTGAAACCAGATTAATAAGCCAAACTCTAGTGAGTTTAAGCTTAAACCCCTAACAAGAAGAGCATAGAAGGGCATAGCAATGATGGCAATATTGAGGATAGTCTTAATTCCAACTTTGCTTTCATTCCAATTAATGCTTATTCACCAACATTCACAATAACATTAATAGCAGAAAAAATCCCAAATCCAATAAAGCTGATTGGCTAATTTCCACTCATGTGCTTTGTTTTACCAAGTAACAGATGCAACCACTAAAGCGGAGCAAAGCGGCCCAAAAACAATTATTTCTACCATTACTTTATAGCATCGTAAGAAGCACATTAACTAAACCAAGGTACATTTGGCAAACATAGCCAACAAGATTGTAACAAATAAAAACATGCATAACATTGCATAATAAAGTTCATCTATTCAAAAGTTAATCAAATTATATTTGATGTCCTAAACCATCTCAGATCACAAAATAGTGCAGGAAAACCTGTGGAAGATACCAAAACAGTCTCTCCACGAGGATGCAACCTGGCTGACTTCTCAGGAACATTGACAGTCTGCATAGTAAATTTTGGAGATTATTTGATGATAAATTCAGCAGAAAACAAAGATGAAAGTAATAGAACAAAAACTAATATACATGTTTTGTAAGAGCTGTATTACAAAAAATTTTAATAGAACAAAAACTAAGTACATAATATGCATGTTTTGTAAGTGCTGTATTACAAAAAAAATTAATAGAACAAAAACTAAGTACATAATATGCATGTTTTGTAAGTGCTGTATTACAAAAAAAATTTAAATAGCTGAGATGAAATTTTCTCTTAAAAATTATTCATCTTTTTTTCACACACCTCTAAAATCATGAAAATAATTTTTATAAATTTTTATATTTTATTAAGACCATTTTAATATATAGAAATCTATATAAATAAATGATCAAACTATAATTTCTATATTCTAATGAATTTTCTAAGAATTTTTAATAATATTATTCATATATTAATTTATTATGCATCCAATTAATGCTCTGTAGAAATTTGTTTCCTCCACTTTCAAGAGCATGTAAGAGCAGATGATTATATGGACGGCTGTCATGGGATTTAGAATAGGTGATTTTTATGTATATAAGTATTAGCATTACTTATTTCTAATATCCATTTCCTACTTCTAATCATTCCCGTGACCCTAGTGGAGGTTGAAACGAAGAGCTTCTGCAGGCCAAAAAAGAAAAGGAAAATAATATAATAGGAAAAGAAGAAGAAATAAAAAGGGAGTTAAGAAGAAAGGGAGGAAAGGACAGAGATTTGTGTGGTGAGGAAATTTCGATTTTTCACAATCCTTCTAAAGCTTTTAAGTTGAGTTTTGAATTGTAGGTTTAAAAGAATTGAATGAGGAGAAATCTTTTCAACAAAAATATGTAATTTTAAGTTTACTCTGTAAGATTAAATTATTGACATAGAAATTGTTATAAATTATAGAAAATAACTTTTTTAAGGTTGTGTATGAAAAAACTGAGATTTCAGGAAGATAAAATTTATGAAATTCAACTCGACGAGAATCTAATAATATTGGTGAGATACTCAACTTATATAATAAGAGGCAAATCATACTTATGCCAATAGTGTAAATTATTGCAATCACATTTAATTACTATGTGTACAAGTATAGAATTTTTTTAATATTAAGCATGCTATATGAACCTGATATTATCAAAAAGCCTATAGCATTTTATGTGAATACTTGTTCAAATGATTTCAATAATTCAAATTATTACTTTTATCTTTGATGCAAGTCATTATAGATTGATTGATAGCTGATGCATATCGATGTTAAATCATTATTAAATATTTATGAAAGATGTTAAACTACAAAAAGCCAATGAAAGGTCACGTCATAGAGAATAGGTTGATATTTTGTGATGACATGTATAGGGAGAGGCAAAATTTCTGATGAGATGAGCCATAGTAGGGAAATAAAGAAAATTCTCAAACTCTCAATTCTAAAAATTTGAATGAGCCAACTTTGAATTGAGGGCTATTGATAACAATAATGTTGAGTTGACAAAACTTTATTAAAATCCATTCAAAAACCTTCCTATTCGGGCGTGCGGGACCATCGGCGGCGTGCGTGCGTGCGGCTTCCGCCTGTTTCGCGATCTTTGGCCCGTGAACCGGTCCCGCCTGGACCGGCTGGACTGGTCCAGTGGACCGGTCTAACACATAGTTCATTAAATGATTTGGCACTTTATAGATATAATTCACTGTTTTATATATATTCATATTCATTGCTTATAATCAAGTCTTATACTATTCAAATCATCAAAGAACATTTTGACTTAAAAGAGTTGCATTAAGCTAATTATACTTATGAATATAAATGCTCATGTCAGTTCATATATTCAACATAGAATGTTATCTTCTTTCTTTATATGTTTAAATTTTATATTAGAACTATTTATCTCATTGGGAATGTAAATTATAAAATATTATTCAATCGAAGGAAAAGAGTAGGCAGAGCGTCAGGCAGATGACCATTTTTGCCCTGTACAATAACTGTTTGGGTGAATAATTGTGGGATATATTATCGAAAAAAATATGTATAATGTGGATTAAAGACTTTAATATGCATTAATTTATTTTTAAAGTTTATTTACAAGCTCTGTATTGTACTTCATCATCATATTTATGCATGCTTCCATATCAATGCTTATGATGTATACATTAAATCACTATAAATGCTCATATCTGTTCATTGAATGATTTGACACTTTACATATATAATTGTTTTATATATATTCACTTTCATGTATTGTAAACTTTGGTCCTTTTTGTTCTTTGGGCTGCTTGCTATCTCTCGGTTTGGGCCTTGACTGTTCTCAGGTTGGGCTTTGAATGCATTAGTTTTGAGTTGTTATCTTGGGATCTACTTGGTGCTAGCTCATTAAAGCTTGAGCTGATGTTTAGCTCATTATTTGGAGGAGTTATTGCACTTCCTAGCTCATAAATTGTAAGAATTAATTAGATTCATTCCCTCCCCCTAGTGGCTCTTAGGTTTCTTCCCTTGGTTGCGTTTATCTCTTCCCCTTCTTGTGTCTCTTCGGTCCCTTCTTTGTGTTGTTCCCGTGAAACCTGCTGGGTGCTTGTGTGGGCTCTTCGGTTTCTCCCCCTGGCTGCTTTACCGTGGCCTCTCCTTTCCGCTTTTCGTGTTGGCTCTTCGAGTCCCTCCCTGGTTGTGTTTCTCGTGGCTTTCCTTCCTGTTTCCTGTGCAGATTTTGGGGGCTGTTTTGTGGTGTCTATTGCCCTTCCTCTTCCCCTTAGCTGATTGGTTTGGTTGGGGATTTTAGGTGGCTATTTGGCTGCCCTTTTCTTCTATATATAGGAAATGTTTTGAATGTTTAAAAGAGTTTTTTTGAGGATGTTATGATGAAGTAATTTTTGGATCTAAAAACCTGAGGGTTTTTCTTGGAAAAGCTTGAGAGCTTGTTCCACTTCTTCCTCCCTTTCTTGGGATAACTTGCGAGTTACTCTACTTCGTCTAGTCTTCTAACCTCTTTCTTCTCTCCGCAAGTACCACCCCATCTGTATCTTTCGTCTCAAGTAAAGAAGAGCTCCTTTAGGTGTCTTTCTATTATGAAATTAAAGTTGTAAGTGTCGTTTGTAAGAGTCTTTATATTATAAAAGTTGTATTGTTTCTTATTTTGTCTATTTTTTAGAATTTCGTGTATTTTCTTTTATCCTAGGAAGAGTCTCATTTGCTCGCAAAAATTTGGGGCTTTTCCCAAATTTTTGCTTGCATCAACTATTCAAATCATCAAAGCATGTTTTGACTTAAAAGTGTTGCATTAAGCTAATTATACTTATAAACATAAATACTCATACAATTTCATATGTTCAACATAAAATGTTATTTTCTTTCTTTGTATGTTTAAATTTAATATTAGAATTATTTATCCCAGTGAGAATGAAAATTATCCAATATTATAACTATAATTTCATTGGAAGGAAAGGAGTGGGAAGAGTAGTAGGCAGGTGACACCAATTTTGCCCTGTATAATAACTTTTTGGGTGAATAATTGTGGGATGTATTATAAAAGAAAATATGTATAATGTGGATTAAAGACTTTAGTTTGTATTAATTTATGTTTAAATTTATTTACAAGCTTTGTATTGGATTTCATTATTATATTTATGCCCGCTTCCATATCAAAACTTATGATAGATATATTAGATCACTATAAATAGTTATGTACATTTTTGTGACAGTCAAGTTTGACAATTTTTCATTTATTCGATTCTGATTAATAAAGTCAGGATGAGTGTTAATGAGAAATATTTCTAAATTGACAGTCTACTTCTGTTACACTTCATGATTGACTAGAGGAGGCTAAAATGAGGCATGACATGTGTAATATTGTTGGAAGGAGTGCTTATGTCCAAAATTGGATTGATCTTCTATTAAAAAAATAGTAAAAACAAGTGCTGAATCGCTGTGAAAATCATTATCAATGTCCATTATAAGAGTAGCTCCTTATGCCAACAACTCAAATTTATTCATGGATCTTGAAATTATTGATTAAAAAATCCTTTATTCAAAGGAATTTAATTTTCCAGTGATATGATTCATTTATTTTCTCTATGTAAAACTTATATAAGACCGCATGTTCTTCTTTATTTGAATCAAGTGAGATCAATACAATTTCTCAGATTTTCTGAATGTTATCAGAGCCTTATGGATATATCCTTGGATATTTACTAAAACCGTCATTGATGCAAAATTTCCTCTAATTGTAACCTTGCAAAGACAAGCTCATGTAAACATGACCCAAACAAATTCATAAGAAAGACCAAATGAGGGAGAATTTAATAAAGAGGATATTAAATGGCCCAAAGGATTATTGTAGATGTTAAAAAACCCTAGCGCCTACTCCTTGGGACTATTAAGAAAGTTTTCCCTTCCCTATGTATTAAAAGCCTTCAATAAGTCCATCAAAAACAATTGGATCATAAATTTAAGAGCCACATATCAAATTACACAATCCAAATCAAAAATTTAGCACCCACACTCCTTGTGCAAGTAATAGAAACATCTTTGTTGGTAATGACGCTTTCCATAGTAGCAAACTTAAGAGACATCTAAATCAATCCACTATTTTTTTATCAGAAGTACGTCATATTCTTAAGCTTTCTATAAACCGAATGTTCATTAAAAAACTCACCCGTGTTCTGAATTGCAAATTAACATTTTTTTTCAATGAAAAAGGATTGCTCTAGTCCCATGAACCATCAAGGGATTTCATGAGTATTATGAATGATCAACCTTTCTCTTTCATTTCATCCTCAAATAAAGACCATCTGGCTTTATTCTCATCGTCTTGGTCATCATTCGTTTGGAATCCTAAGAACTGAGTTTCATTCTCTCTTTAAAAGCTAGCTGATGTTAAATTTTTTCATTCTGACGTTTGTGAATTTACGAAGCATAAACATGTGTATTTTCTAGCTGATATTGAAAGAAGTACTATTCAATTTTTCATTCATAGTAACATATGAGTTCCTTTTACTATTCACAAGCACTAGGTGGTTTGTTTATTTCATAGCCGATTGTATTATGTTTCATGAATTTTTTTTTTACTTGGATCTAAATCAGACGTGTATTGCGCTTATTATATTGAATAATATGATCAAAAACAAAATTGAGTTGAAAATTTAAATATTTTGATTTGATAATGCTAAGGAGTGCTTAAACCAAGATCTTTATACATACCTTCTAAAAGAGGGAATAATTCATGAGTCTTCATGCATTAATACTCAATGAGAAAGTAGTTTTGAAACTTGCTATTTAGTAGCCACAAATAGAGCCTTGTTATATTAATAAAATATTCCATAATTAGATTGGGGAAAGATTGTCCTCATAGCTAGCTATGCATATCATAAATATGCTACTTGTTAAAAGGCGTTCAATAGCATAAAAGGATAATTTAGTGGAGTAATTCAGACTAGTTTTTTTTTAATTCCCTCCGCACAAATGGCCCTCCTTATACTAATTCCCCTACCCCTCCTGAATTTAAATTACAATTTTGAAATTTTAGGCCCACCTAAAATCATATTTTCAAATCCTTCCTGGATCAGTGAAGATAAAAAGGAAATATAAATTTTCGAAACTTTGAACCAAGTTAAAAGACAGCACAGAAAAATTATAAAACTAAACTAATAGCATATTACTTACAGTTCCAACAAAAATTTTCAATAATGGCAGATAAGAATACTATTAGCTTAGGAAAGAAGAGGTATTAGATTTGACTTATGTTAAGAAAGATAGAGGCAGACCTAAAAGACTTGGTTAGAAAATATTAGAAATGATTTTTCTTTATTAGATTTAAACGAGAATTTGACTTTTAATATGACACAAAGGAGAAAAAAGATTAATGTAGCCGACCCCACATAATGAGATAAAGGCTTGATGTTGTTGTTGTTGCTGCTGCAAAATAAGAAAATTAATAATTCACTCATCAGATTAAGCTAAGTGAACGAATGAATGTCAAAATTTTATCGAATGTAGGAAGAACAAAACTTGAGGTTATGTAAATGTTAAACATTTAAATAAAGTAAAATGAAAAGACTGCGCCAAAAATAAAGGAAAGCTCATCCATTACTGTGCTACTTACAGTTCCTTCAAGCATTTTCAATAATGCCTGCTGGACACCTTCACCAGAAACATCTCGACTAATATTAAGACTCTCAGACTGCAGCATGCAGAAGAAAATGAGATTTTTCCTGACAAAAAAAAAAACTATAACTCAAAAATTGAAAATTTCTAGGACCTTCTTTGCCATTTTATCAACTTCATCAATGTACACAATGCCTTGTTGAGCAGCTTGTACGTTGAACTCAGCAACCTAAATTCAGCAAAAGGAAACTATTTTGTAAACACTTGAAAAAATACACAAACGGAAGGGCAATCAAACCCAAGAGAGTAGAATAAAGTAACACATTGCTATTAAAATTTCTCATAAGCAGTGGTTTTCAATAGACAGTAAACGTACAAAAGACTGACAAAACAATTGGTAAATACAAAATACATCAAAATAATGACAAAAAATGGTTGAATTATGAATACCCCAACTAGAAACAAAGTTTATGCCTCACTGTACACTGGACGTTGGGCCTTAACGGACACTTAAGTATGCCAAGGTCCCTTAATCGCATTAGTTGGTTAAAATAGAAGAAACACTTAAGGCCTTGCTTGGCTATGGCTTCTCAGGCCGGACCTAGGCTTTCAAGATATAATTAAATCTATTTTACTAAACTAAAATAACTCTATACAAACAAACAATATTTTATATATTATCTATTACATTTTCCCAACATTCTGGGTGGGCTAAATTTATGTCTATACTTAGACCAGATCTGACCAGGATGGGCCTGCTGGCACGAAACTGACTAGTAGATTAAGTCTACTTTACAAGTAAATCTTAACATTACACTCACTTTCCTTCCACTTGAACAACCACTAAACCTCTTGCACGGAATTGTATTTAATTTAGGAGGGAGAGAAAGAGATGGGGGCCGGCCAAAGGAGTGGAGAGAATTGTTTAGGTTTGATGATGTAGGAATTTAGAATTGATTCCCAATCAATTTCAGATTTAATTATTCCTTGATTGAGCGAAGACTTTCCAAAATTAAATTAAATAAATTAGGAAAGAATTTGAATTTTCAAATTCGTTTGAATTTGAATTCAAAAAATTTACCAAAATTAAAACGACTTAATTAAAGAAAAAATAAATTTATGAGGGAAAAGGGTGGGGCTAAAGCCGACGGCTAGGAGGAGTGGGTAGGGTTTAGGTTGGGGCGGCGGTTTTGGAGGGAAATTCAATTTCATAAATTTGAATTTGAAATAGGAGGGAATCAAATTCAAAATGCTGAAATTAATTTAACCATAGCGTGAAAGTAATTGGTGGGATTGGAGGCTTAATTAGGCGAGCATTAATGGGCCTTTTAATTAGGTGATTTAAAGCTTGCCAAGTGGGGAATATTAAATTAGGAAGGAGTATTTAAATCAAATCCTATTGGAATTTGAAATAGGTTTGATTGGAATACTTTCCTAAAATAAGATAACTAATTTAGGAAAGGATTTGAAATTTAAATTCATTTGAATTTAAATTCAAAAGCTTTCCAAAATTAAAACAAATCCAAATAGGAAAGAAAGAAACTAGGATGAGAGGGCTAAGGAAAGTGGTGGCTTGGTAGAGAAAGTGGTGGTTTGGTGGGGTTTTAGGGTGGAGACGGAGAGGAGATCGGCGGTTGGAAGAATGGAAGGGTGGTGGCCGATGGTGAAAAGGAAAGGGGGTGGGTGGCCAGTGGGGGGGAAGAGGATGGGATGTAGAAAGTCGGAGGCTAAGGGAAGATGTAGCCAGCGGTTAAAGGAGAAGGACGTGAGGGATTAGAGAAAGAAAATAAATCGTGAGTCTCGGACCAAAGACTGAAGGGTATTGCGTTGCCCATCACTAAGGGACTTCAACCACGAGCCCGAACAATCCTACGACTGGTGGGTATTTCAGAGAAGGACGTGAGGGATTAGAGAAAGAAAATAAACCGTGAGCCTCGGACCAAAGACTGAAGGGTATTGTGTTGCCCTTCACTAAGGGACTTCAACCACGAGCCCGAACAATCCTACGGCTGGTGGGTATTTCATTGCTCTCACATAGAACTTCCACTCTCCTAAGAACTCTCATCGCTCTCAAGAACAAAGTGTAGAAACAATTTTTTTTATTAATTCATCATTGATCTAATACAAGAGCAATGGCCTCTATATATATGTCTTAAAAGAAACAAAAAAATAACTTTGCCCCTTGGGCTTACATAAGACAAGACCCTTAAGGGTAAAGACGAAAAATGCATAATTAAATAAAAAATATAATATAAAATGGATGGATCTAAGCCATCAATTTTCGTCTCTTCCTTTGATTAACATCCACCGTCGGATGTCCTCATTAATAATGGAAAACAATAACCACCAAAATCCCTTCATTAGGACTTCAGTAGAAATAGGAATTTCCTCAAATTCTTCTGAACTTTTCTTGACCTATAATCTACAACCCAAATAGAAACAAACAAAAGAAATAAAAAAAAATGCATAAATCATTACCTCTGCCGGATATCCTGGCAAAACGATCGCAAATCCTGCTTTGCTGCAGTCGCCATCCCTCTGCAGTCACCATGGGTTGCTTCGTCCAAGGGGGCCTTATAGACCTGGGATGAATATTTGTCTAAGGGGATAAATTTGAATCCACCTTAGCTAACAGAGGGCTTTGTGCCCTATCGATCATATCTTATTGATTTATATCTCAAGGATTTGATGTCATTAAGGAGCGTATTGGCTCTGGCCATAACCGGTATTTCGTGGTGCCATTTGGCGGCAAAACCACTAGGTTCAGAGGGCCCAGGGTCATAACCGTTTATCCTGCGGTGGCATTTAGCTAAAAAATCGCTGGTTAGAGGACATGTACCACATCCTTATTGGCAGGAGATTGTTTGAGAATGGATCCTAGTGATATTTTCGACTAGGCATTTAGCTCTTTATGAGCTGAAGTAAAATTTATTTATCCACCTCAGTAAACTGTTGCGGAGGGTGGATGATTTTGCTTTAAGTGATTTGAATAATTTGATTTCAGTTTTAAATATCTTGGAGTTTGAAATTTGTTGGGTTTTGGACTTTGTGAAATTTTTGAATTTTTGTGGATATTTGAGTGGAATTTGGAAGGCATTTGAAAGTATTTATAAACCCCTCCGGTTGAGATTTACATTCAACACGGCCGTCATCAGGGTGTTTGGGATCATTTTCATTTGTAGCTTGAACCTTGTCGATTCGGTCGGGCTGTTGACCGAGGATCGGGTTTCTCGTAGTCTTTGTGCATTTATTTGTGAATTTTCTCTATTAAAAGCCTTGAAGGCCTGATATGAATGTATAAGATAAATATTCCGGTCGACTTCGTGACCGCATATTTATTCGATGACTGGAACCCTGTTTAATCCTATTTGCCTGCTTGGGAGGATCGGATTTCGTAGGCTTTGTATCTATATTAGTGAATTCATATTGTTATAGACCTTGAAGGCCTAATATGAATATAATAAAATAAATATATTGGTCGTCATCACCGTTTACTAGTTTGATTGTTCTAACCTTGTCGACTTCTATTGATCTGTATAGAAGGATCAGGTTCGAACTTGAATTCACTTATTGACCCACGTAGCATCCTTAGGCGTCACGTGTGTTCCCACAACACGCTCGCCGAGGCCCATGTGGGTTTTTGTAGGCATTTTGTAATTATCTATTGAACCTTGTCGATTTCTATTTACCTGCTTAGGAGAATCGGGTAATTTGATAACCCGCGCAGCATCCCTAGACGTCACGTGTGTACCAAGAACATGCTCGTCGGGGCCCATCGGGTCAAGATTGTACTTTCCCCTTTAGTGTATCTATGTGTATACAATTTATAATGCACGTGCAGGGGTATTCTGAAAATATTTGTAAACACCTTCTATCCGCTTGTGTGAATATTGCGGATCCGGTGGCATTGCATTGCAGCTTCTGAGTTTAGTTGTTCGTTGCTTTGTACAGGTAGACTGTCGTGCACTACTTGCATGATTTGCGCAGGTAGATTGTAGTGCACTAACGAATCTCCTGCTTAGCTCGTAGGCATTTAAATTTGGCTTAATCATGTTGCATTTTTGCTTGTGGGTGGTACATTGGATGTATATGAGTCTTCTACAGTACCTCGTAGGAGTCCCATGCTTGTCGTAGTGCTTCGATGTTTGCCCATGGATGATATGTAATGTATATGGCAGCTCTCCTATCACGAATTGTAGAAGCTTGCATCTGATAAAACTCTTCTGCATTTGTCTATGAATAACATAACAGGTTTCATACAATAGCTCATATAAGCTTACATTTGTTTTTTATATATATATATATATATCATCATGCTTAAGCCTGTATATGACTAGTATATTTGTTGACCACCACATGCTCCTTAACTGTAAGGATATCGTAACATCCATTGCCTATTGCTGATTAGCATTCGTAGGCTCGTTGTGTGTATGGTAAATTCTCTATCATTGTTAGCAGATGCTAACGCTTGCCATTTACTACACAATATGCACTTGTGGGGACTATTACATCTTTTTGCAAGATTTATATGGTTGCTTCCATCATCAGTATATGATGTGTAGCACTCGCTAAGATATTCTAATGCATCATTTGCAAGTGGATCACGTATATGCAATAGATTCATGTTCATGCTTGTAGGTGTAGTATGCCATTTCATACACATATTGGTTATATATTCCTTGTTGTCCTTTCCAAGCAACTTTCTCCACTGGCATAGTTTTCATGAATAGAAAATGACTTCTATTGAAGGTTTCGTAGATTTGCAGTTCCACTTACAATCATTTGAATGCTATTGTTCAAGGGGTTCCATGTCAAAGCGCAAGCATCTTTATTCATTTGCATAGGGCTTGAATGACATCTCCTAATTAACACTCGTATTCAAAATGAAAATCCTTTAAAATTCCATTAAAATTTTATGTCATTATCAAGTTAAGTTTATGTTCATTTCTCATTTGGATTTGATTCCAATCAAGTCCAAGCTTATAAGTTATTTTGCTTATGTTCAAATCAAGTACACATAATGTATGAATCAATTTCAAAGCTTATGTCAAGTTTATAGTCAAGTTTTAATTCAAGTTTTCATTTAGCTCATTTGATTTTCCAACCAAATTCAGTCCCAATTCATGTCCTTGTTTGAGTTCAAAGCACAAGTTCAGCTCATGTTCACAAGTCTAGCTTGAGTCTAAGTCCCCTGTGGTTCGAGTTCTTTGTCAGCTTCAGTCCACATTC